ATACTGTGACGATTCAGATCAGTCCAGTGTGAGTGATGAGAGTATATCATCGACGATGCCCCTTGTTCGGATGAAAGTTTTATTTCAAATTACACGGAAGTCTGTGAACAATCTGCTTGGTGTTCCTGTGACACTTGTCCCATGATTTGCCAGTGCAGCCCCATGAATACATGGACGAAAATGTTTCCACCACCACCCTATGAACTCAAGATAGCATACTCCAGCATCCAGACTTTGAATAATTTGCACGCCGCACAGTGCAGCACTGGAAACAGCATTTATTAGACAGACAAAAAACAAAACAAAATGACAAGTAATTTTGCACAAAATATCTTTTTCAATATATTCTAAAGTGCTGATAACAGCTTTGAACATTTTAGTGCTTTATTTATAGAAAATAAATGCTAAACAAATAAATATTTTGAATAAAGTGCTTGAAAATAGCAAATTGATCAATTTTATAAGACTTAAAAGGAAAGAGATCAATTACTGTCAGTTAGTGTAAAATTTAACTACTTGCCATTTAAAGATCCATACAACTATGCATATAGTGAGTCTTATTGAGTGGTTTGTGCCATTCTCAATGAATAATAATAATTTTCGGGGGCAAACATCCAGGCATTTTCCCTGTCTGACAACCATCACCGTGAAAACAATGGCTGAAAAGTCTCCAAATACAGTACTTGGTGTAGTTGTTGAGACTGAACCCGGTAACAATATTACCCCTATATGTGGAACATATATCAATTTGGTCGCTCGGGATTACCTCACAGTTGAGTTTGTGCTGTTTTCACTGGCTCCTCAACCAGTGTTCCATAGCAGTTCACACTCAGCTCATAGAAATACATTGAACAGTGGTGTGTGAACAAGCAACATGAGACATTCTGTGATGTAGCTTTAGGATCTACTTACCAGCTAATACTTTGGTGCCTGGTGGTAGATTATTAATACTCAAGAAAGGAGTGGGCTGAAATGAAAAAAAAACAAACAAATTAGTAGATACATATGGTTAAAATCCAAAGTACCAATTGTGTACAAGTAAACCTTGGGAATCTATATAGTAGAATTGAATTACAAATAACTTTTATTCAATCACAGTCCCTCCAGGAAGGATTGCGATTGAATGTACTTTATTTTGTTTTAATTCTATCCCCCAGTGTTTCAATGTTTTATGTTCTTACTAACGTGTTGACTATTAGAAACTTGGGGGGGGGGGGACAAATTTTTTGAAGAAAAAAAATCCACAAAAAACCTGCACATTTTATTGATGAGGGGGGGGGGTAATGTACGGTTTCACTAAAAATATTTATAGTCTTACAGATTTTCTAATAATCCATCAAAAACATGGACATGATATGACATGCATCTTATTTTTGCAATTCCTTAATAAGAGTATTAAAACTTATTTTATAGGAAGACATTGATGTCTTGAAAAGAAGAAAACATAGTATATACCAAAAAAATTTTCGATTTTTGAATTTTCCAAACTATGTTTATGAATGCAGTATTATGGATATCAGTAACTCAACCACAGACATTTTGGTTTGCCTTCAAAACTTTTGCTGCTCAAAATTCACAGTTTTCACTTGGCTGTTGTTATGGGATGGAATGCTGTGGTTGAACTTTCATGCAACAAAGATTAGTTTTGATGTGTTAATTATTTCTATTGTTCCAAATTATTAGTATGGATATCAGTAACTTAACCCCAGACATTTTGGTTTTCCTCCAATACATTTTCTGCTCAAATTTCAGTATTTTCACTGCTCAAATTTCAGTGTTACGAAGACATTGAGTTTTGATATACAGTTCCATTTCACATTCCTGCATGTAGCCAATGAGAGAAATGTATACCACCTCTGGATGGGGTTCACAGTGTTTCTGTTGAGCAGTTTCCGAGTAAGCAGGTAAATTTTATGACAACCCCCACATGGATTTATAGAATGCACAATCTCCAATGAATAGTACACTTCCCCCAAACGATGACATCTGTGTGTCAGTTTTAGCAAAAAACAGTGTTCTGGTTTACTTTTAGTTCTGGTTTTAGTTTTAGGAAGTTAGTTTAGTTTATCAGTAGGTCTCTCCAAGGACAATTACCGGTATATTTTTGGACAGTCATGGTTTGTGATTACATTGATTTGTTTTTGCTCAGTGTACGTGTTTGAATTATGTGTAAAAAGAATACCCGGTATTTGACTTGCATTGCATCATGGGACAAATATAAGACATGATTTGGTGTGCCGACTGTGAATTTTCATTTTACATGCTTTTCACGCACAACATATACATACTTGCCAAAAGCAAAAGTGTTGACAAATAGTGGATTAGTCTAGATCCTGAAAGGGATTTTAAGATTAGCAAATAAGTCAACGGAAAAGTCGTTTAAAACCTTATGGGTGAGAGAAATTAAGTACCATGGCGATACAAAATAAAATTGGCGATTGAAATTGCTAAAAATTAATTTGGAACTCATTTGAATTTGATTGTGAACAATTTTAAAGTAATTGAAATTATGAAAGGACAGAGGCAGTCTGGGATGATCTAAAATAATTGATGTGCAACTGGCTAAAATGAGCTGTTAGGTATGAAAGGAAAATTACACATTGCATGAATGTACCAGTAGTTACCATATCATTGTTGATTTTCATGGTTAAATGTTTAATGAGTAAGAGTTCACAATAAATGAGGGGTAGTAAGACTTCCTTAGGCTTCCCGCACCCCTAACCCTAATTCTAAACTTGCTCCTCTAGTGCCACTCCCCTATATTTATTGAATATGTTCCTCTTCCGTACATGTATGTATATACATGTATATAGTTATCAAGAGGGGCATATACAATTACATTGGGGGAGGCTGGAATGTCTCAGGGGTTGAGGGGATTTCAACGTAGAATACATTAGGAAACCTTTTCCCAAAATGACTTGACAGAAATTTGTTTAAATAATTAAATAATTCAATACTATAATGAATATGAGAACAGAATATGAAATAATTATTAAATCTGCCAGGACATGCAGAATTTGTACGGTCTGAAGGAATTTCTTGAATAATGATTGATTTGTGCATTTATAGTAGTTTTTTTTTTAAATAAATATTTGTTTCCTAGTGTGACACCAAGAGCTCAAGCACTCGGTGTCCATGGTTCTTTGTAAAACTGTCACACCATGAGTGTTGTTAACACCTATGCACCTAGATCATTATCGCAATAAACACCACCCCGTTGGTAGAAGAGTGTAGGTAATCTAATTACATGCAAGTTGAGATTGATTCAGATCGTGGTTTCCTATATTCTGCGTCCAACTGCAATATACAGAGGGACCTGTGTTCGCGTTTGGAAAGTAAAAAGACGAATTTCAAAATCAACAGTATCGCCTTACAGTGGTACAAAAACTGTTCGGGCAGTGTAAACAAAACTTGATTTTTCTGTTTACATGTTTGCTAGTGGTTGCACAGATGATTTTATAACGGCGCACGCTTTTATTTGTCAGATTATTTGAAGCGATAGGATTACCTTCATTTAGAGACAACAACAAATAAATTATGTAGCAATTCATGAACCGAAAAAAAAATCCCAAAGCACCGGAAATTCAATTACCATTTCCAAGGTTATCGGAAAAGCATTACAATTTTTAACTATAACAAAACTGCAACCAAATTAGAACCCGGTGTATAATGTATTTCAATTAATTATAGAAATTATAGAAAAAAATGTTCCCATCGCGTATCGTACTTACCTCGAAGGTTTTCCGTGGTCTGGCCCTCGACCGTACAGATGCTCTCCCCGCCGTCGTTGGTGTCCGCAATGGTTTAGTTGACAAGTGTCCAGCAACCGGAGTGATAAACACGCTTTCTGGTATACCTTCAGGCCTGCCATTTATGCCACGTTCCCTGGTAGAGGGAAGCCTAATTTCTACTTCAGCAGACGGGTCGCTCATTTTGGAATCCTCCCGGTACACATGCGGGTGAAGTTGATTTGGGGGCAGGTGGTTTTGATACTGGTAGTACTCAACTTGTTCCGTGTCGTTCTTCGAATCGTTCCATCTAATCCCAGTCGCCTTCGCAGAGACTGCATTATTAGTGAAGTGTTCCATAATCATTTTTTGTTTGGCAATCGATTTGTGTCATTTACATCTGGATTTAAAGCAGTACTGTAGTCAAGCAAACTTTATCCCTTACGACCGTCGCCATCTTTGACAATCTTACAAATGTTGATCAGCTGTAAATGGTAGATATCCCTACGCAATAAAATAGTCCCAAAACTCAAAAGCAAACAGTAATAAAATTGTGTATCGTGGAAAATATTTTTCAACTATCACTGCAATATTTGTAAACTATAACAATTTATCATCAGGAATGCAACGTTTAATATGGAGAATCAATATTGCGCATTGATATACATTAGTGTTTATTATTAGTCCCCGTTGCTTAGCAAGGTGAAAGGTCAATATAAAACAAATGATCATCTTTTGCTTATCAGTACCTCGAATCCAGTCGCCTTCCTCTGCCACACGATACACCAGGCACCCGATAGACAAAACCATAAACATTAGCTGCAAACACTATAAAATTATTAACTAGATGTTGAAATATCTGACAAAAAATAAATGAAAGAACATTATGATTCACACGAAACTATAATTTCACAAAAAAAGTTTCTATTGACTGACTGAATAACATTGGAACAGTTTCCAATGACGAGGTTGCGCACTGTTCTCGTTGATTGGTTGGTTTTATTCAACTGCCATTAAAATTTATAAATATTTATACATGTATGGATGAAGGAACACATTTGTTGTGCTAAGGGTGTTCAATAAATACCATTAGGATAAAACAGATCTTTAAATAGAACTGCAACCAATGACAAATGCAAAAAAATTAAAATGTGCTAGTTATTATGCAAAAAAATATTAACAAAAAATTCTGAAAAAAAGGAAAGGCAATTGAGGTGCAAAATCAGCCTTTTTCAGGAATATTCCCAGAAATGCCTAAATTTTCTACAAAATAATTTTTTTTCCAATCTTTGGCCCCAACAAAATAATTTCATCTCGTATTCAAATATTAAAGAGCGGTGGTCATCGCACCACATCCTGTTCGATATGGGACTCATAACAATGAACACAACACAAGTAAAATACATTGTTTGTTTACATGAAATTTAAACATCCACTGCAAGACGACCACCACCCTTTAAGCTCTATACATGGTAACCTTAAAAGCTTGTGTTCTGCAAATTATATAAACACGCGGAAATTGAGTCCCAAGTGACGATAACACACGCTAATAATGCAAAAACTCATGGGCAGACGTTTGTTTGTAAGCAATGACATGCTATGGCCATCTGATGCACGCGTAGGTGATGACTCCCCCGCTTTAAATTTGTTTATGCGGGTAGAGCCAAATTCAAATTTTGCCTTACTGAGCATGCCAGTGCAGTGTGCAATGCATTATGGGAAATAAAACTATTATTACTATGGAAACTCACTCAATTATATATAAATTTTTTAAAATGTTTTCACAATTTTTCGATTCATGTCAATAATATGACTTTCATTCCATTTCACAGCAAGTAAATGAAGAAATAATCTCGCTATAGAAACCTGTGTAAAAATGCTAGTTTTGAAAATTTTCCCATGACATTTTGAACGATATGTTGAAAAATTGTCTGGTGACCTCATATTTCCTTTTTCATTATCTGTATCTATACCGTATGAATCCATCACATTGAAAGCATGATAAACATGAAATTTAATCTTCAATTCGACTTGAACCTCCGTAAATCTGATTCCAAATCCTGTTTAAACCAACTTACACTTTTTTTCAGTATCTTCTCCATAGATGTAAATATGCATGGTTATACAATACCTGTACAAACCCCTGTAAACATGGGAATTCAGTCCTATTTGTTACTACCAGGGTAGTTTTGGAATATCCAGTTTCACACCATTTTGTTTATTACTGTTTATACCACAATATTGTTTTGCACACCATATCAACAACAATGCTAGCTAATTTTCAGACTGTATAGAGACTGTTATTGGTTAGGAAAAACTTTTTTAACAAAGGTGCAGTATTCGGCTAAATAGAGGCAGGATACACTCAAATTACATCAGCCAATCATTGTTAATTGATTGATTTGTTTGTTTATCAATTATCATTGAAATGTAATAGTCAATTTAAATAATATTAGTTTCATGAAAACAAATGGGGCCAGTCTGTGGATTGTAGTACAATCCTTGTGAAACCGCATGTGACAGAAAAACAGATTTTTGTTTCATTTCTCAAATTACATGACATCTCATTCTGAGGTTGAAGTGAAGCAGAGTGACTTGAAAAAATATGATTTTTATAATAATTTAGCATTAGACTACATTAGAACTAAAGCATTGGTTGGTATTGATAATGGAACAAATAAAAATTTACACATGTACATTGCAAGCTGACATCGATTGTCTAAGTTTAAATAAAAACTGATAAAACATCTTAGATGACATGGACACGTACAAAAAAAACAACCTCCAGTTTGAGTCAAATCCACTAAATATAATTTTATTACTATTATTTTAATTTTTAAAATTCTTTCAAATATTCAAGCTACAAGTTTTTATTGTTGAGATAAATGTACATCGACAGAAGCTAGCGATTCTCTGACCCAGGTTGGATAGTCTTCGTCTGGATACACAGTCTTCATGAAGCTTTTTATAAATTGGGGAAACCTATCTTCTACGATACTTGCTCGTATACTCCGCATTAAACTCATCTGTAAAATACAACACGGAAACGAACTTAAGACACGAAAAAAAACCATGTGTTGTAGACCAACTTGCAAGTTAATTTCTGTTCTCAGTGTGGCGTGCTAGCAGTTTCACCCCCAAGAACATAACAAAAGGAAGTCCCATATAATATAATCTCCATACTTGAATGAACTGTTGAGGTATTGAAAAAGTTTTGCTATAATTTTGCTTTTATATATATAAAGACAGTTTTGCTGCGATTTATGAATCATGTTGATCTCGTTGTTGCACTGGCCAACATTCTATTTTCTGTAAATTAATCCAAGGAGAAGGAACTTTTAAAGAGAAAATGCCATAAAATGCTTAAATTTTGTGAGTCAGGAAAAAATGCTAAATTACTGCATTTGCTCTATCCGTACATCTCTAATAGAAGAGCACATAAAACAAATGTTGCATTTACTGTAAAACCATTTATTTTTACTGGCAATCAATTTCGTTATTTTGATACTTTCAGCAATTTCACCGTTTTTTAATTTAAGTCACATGCTTGGCAGGGAAACAATGATTTCTATTGTTATTTCCCCATGTTCACATGGACTTAATTTAGCAAAATTTACTTATCGACAAAAATTGCAAAATTACAACAGTGAATAACTAATGTATTCACAGTACTGGATATTGGATTAATTAAAACATAACTTATTTTGACCATAGTCAACATTCTGGCATTTTCGTAAACACATGTGCTCCTAATAAAGAAAATACAGTATTAAAGCGGTGGAGATTTACAGTAATTATAAAACTGCGAACAGTTTATCAGCAGAAATTGACATTATAATTGACCTACCTGAAATGCTATGTTATGAATGGTTAAAAGATGACATCCTACAGTCTCATAGTTTGGAATAGAATTGATATAAGCCCGGGTATACCTGGCACAAGTGGAACATTTACACGTGTCGTCAATAGGTCGGTAATCTTTGGCAAACTGTTTACTTTTTATATTGATCTGACCAGTTCGAAGTAACGCACAACCAAAGCGCTGAGATTAAGAAATAGACAAAATCACAAAACATTAAAATTGACATCCTAGGTCATAATCGATTGGTTCTCCTTGTGATTCATGTTTAACCAATAATTAAATAACTTTCAATTGATCAGCACATGCTAAGTCCAGCAATGTGTTTGACAGTGTAGTAAATTAGTACATGTACAATATCATTATGAAGGGAAGATGGTCACACAGCCATGTTCACATAATCATGAAATATGGTTTCTGTGGCCAAACACAATTCATGTATGGTTAGCATTTGCATGTGAAAAAAAGCAGAAGTGACAACCCCCCTCCCCCCCGAATAAATTTACCCTTCTTAACCCTTTGATAATTCGTTCATCAAAACTTTAGTAGAGCATAGTATATTTCTATAATTTCTTTGTTAGTTTACAATAAAATGTACATTTTTTGTTTTCAAAGGGTTAAAACCAATGTGAAAATATTACATTTTTGTGTTAAATTTGACTTACAGCTGTTCTTGTAGGAAACACACAGTCATACATATCACAGCCAAGAGCCGAACAAACTACCAGATCAACTGCATATCTGGACAAAAAACAAACGAAACATAATGACATTAATAATCACCACTAAAGGGCGTAATAATCAAAATTTGCAAGTTGGTGAGAAAGTGAAGTTTTATCACTGGGTGCTGATGCAGTACACCGTATCAACCATAACAAATATTAATGCAATATACATGTAACCACATTTACAGTGTATGACAGAAACCTGTATCTAAGTTTATAAACGCAATTATGTATGGTTCTACATTGTCTACATCCATACTGTGTGCACATGCCTTCAAGCATATGTGAATACCTACAGCCTATGCAAATTTATGCCTTTGCTGATTCGATGACATTGAACTCATAACTTATACTCACTATGATGTCACAACATTATTAGATTTGTCGATTAGAATTTTGAATTTATGAAATTTTACAGTTACAATACGTTTATAATGTTGACATGTTTTTGTCGCACACTATATTTTTTTTTATGAAACTTATACTTAATAATTCATACCCAACTCCCATTAAATATCTTGGTTTATCCCTCGGTAATATATCAGTGGATAATTTGACCATCCGCCAGAAATGGTCTTTTTCTTCACCTCCACTAAGTCCTCCAATCGCGTACCCGGCAGTATCTCTTTTCACCATTTCTGCAAAGCATAACATAAAAGACGTTTGCTAGTTTTAAAATCTGATTCAAGCAGTCAGATTTTTATAAAAAATATGTGGTGATATCCGATTCATTCAGTTCAGCTCAGTTCAATAAATCTTATGCATGACCCTCAAAGGTCACAAATCCTGGTACTTTCTGGGGGTATAGTCATTATCTAGCAGAGGTTATTTCAATATTACACCTTAAAGTGAGGGAGTCACCACCTGCACATGCATCAGGCCTTAGCGTGTCATTGTTTACAAACAAGTGTCTACCCATGAGCCTTTGCATTTTTAGTGTGTGCTGTTACCGTCGCTTGGGACTCAATTCCCACGCGTGTGCAGGTGACGATGCTCTCGCTTTAAATTTTGGAATTCTTTTGAAAAATTATGGATAATTTCAGGATGCGTAATCTTTAAGGGCAATGCCACAGCCCTACTCTGCACCATCTTTGCAAGCCAATTTTATTCAGACATGCCATGCTGTAAGCGTGTGAACTGGCAGACATGTATTTACCTGTCGCACATATTTTTCTAAGTTCTGGTTGAAGTCCACCTTGAACAATTGGAAACAAGTTTTGTTCTGTTGGTCGTTTATTTGCAGAGATACATCGATCCAGCCAGCGGATTGATCTACAGAGATGGCACAATGCAAAATAGATGAACAAACCACTATATCTCCAAATTTCCATTTCTTATTTGTACATCCACTTTTTTATTCGGGGGAGGGGGATTACAGTATATTATATTTTTCATATATCACATCTTGCTCAAAGTCACATACATTTCTAGTCCTGGAGAATGCTCTTAAATAGACTTTAGATATATCATTTGTTGATAAAATTTTTTTAATTTTGACCAGCAATGGTTTACCTATGATACTTCACTTTGATAAGAGAGAAGTTTAAATCATTCACCATAAAAACAAAATAAATGTTGATCTGACCACAAGAGGGCGCTATGTTACTTGTTGCATGACTACATGGTGTACACATCATACCTGTACATTGCTTCTTCAACTCTTGGTCCGGTCGTTGTGCTGTGTACAACATCGTCCAATTGCATCATAATATCAGCTCCAATACTGTTTTGAATTTCAATAGATTTTTCCGGAGTTAAAAGCATTTCTTTACTGTCATGCGGTGATTGGAATTTCACCCCTTCCTCGGTTATTTCAGCTAACTTTAAAAGAGAGACCATTTGAAAACCTCCACTGTCCTGAATTGAAAAAAGGAATTATTGTTTAAAGAAATGTATTCTTTTGAGTAAAAAAATAGACAGTCTACAACAAAATCCTGATAACAGCTGAAAATATGATATACAATGGTATATAAGATACCTGTAGTACAACTTTTATTTTGTCATATCTACACTTATTATACATCTGTCACAATAACGCCATAAGTTTCAGCATGCCAACATTTTGCGGTGTTTTATGGGTTATTTTCATCCTACCATATTAGGAAATGCGAATTTCAAATATGAAATGATTACGTGCCTAAGCGTCCTCTAATAATAAAAAGAAACATGGCTGCCACCAGGGTTTGACCGGACTCCAAACAAAGAAGTTCGCTGATTCTGTTCTAAACTTTTCGGATTTCGGCATTCCCATGATGTACCCTTGGAATGAAAAGATGTATGATAATAAGGTTATTATGAAGACACCTCAAAGTATTCACTCGGACAGTACACCGTCGGACGTCGGTCGATACTTCTGCTGTACTGTCTTCGTGCATCTTTGGAGGTATCCTTGTAATAACCTTATAATATTTGTTCGAGGTAACAGTTAAGACATTATCAAAAACAGTCATTTAACTGATTGTTTTTCATGCAAGTTTGATTTAAAAATCACAATTTTGATAAGAATGAGTGATTTAGCTCTTGTCAGCTTGCATTTTGTGGGATATTGAGGCTTGCATATTGTTAAAAAACACAAATAAATACATAATAATATTGTATAACTATCCCTCTTTAAAAGTTGTAGCTCTGACATTTTTAATATATTGTAACTTCAGCAAATTTGAGTTGATTGTGAACTATGAACTATGACCTAAACTTAAGAAACACATTGTACATATGCATGTGGGAGTATTAAATCAACTTACTGTTAATAAAGCTCTGTCCCAATTCATGAATTTATGAAGTCCACCAACTTTCTCTAATAACTCATGGCCCTGTAAGCGACAATGAAATAACAAACAAACTTGAACTTTGTCTGCAAATAAAATATCGGTAGTTCTTTAGAGAAGCTGTTGATGATTAAAACATACATTCAATAAATATATCCCATTCATGGGAGGTGGGGGGGGGGGAGTTTAAGTGGTCAAAGGTCATTCCCAATACTGTTCAAAAAAATCACACTGTGTTGTTTTTAATGTTTGTTCCACACTGGCAACTTGACTTTCATTGAGAGTGGGTTGATATCTGTGGGTGTGGTGGGTGAATAGTAACAGAGAGATTACATTTACTGTGCAGGTGTGGTGGGTGAATAGTAACAGAGAGATTACATTTACTGTGCAGGTGTGGTGGGTGAATAGTAACAGAGAGATTACATTTACTGTGCAGGTGTTTTAAAATTATCAATTGTCTCTAAACCTTGGGTTTATTAATAATCCTGGAGGGAGAGTTAGAGAAGTTGAGTATCAGTAACAATAGATGAGTTTACCTAAATGAATGAGGTGTCAAAATAAGCTGTATTTCAATGGCCCAGCATTAAATGGTTTAAGTGCACTAATATGAAACATGCACTACTAATAGATCAAATACAGTATTCCCTTGTAATATTGGAAAATTAATTACCCGGTAGGTGTATTGGTACTCTCTGCACAACAAAGGCGTTCTTATTTATAGATTTTATATCATAAATGCGTGTATTTAATCTTTATTTTTTTGTCGCAACCAATGTAATATGGGGGTGCCAATAATTTTACTAGAGATTTGAACACCCTAGTTTATAACACTGATATTTTTTTTATTTTCTTATTACAGGTATACCTGACGGCTTAACAGCAATATTCAAAATAATATTCATATTTGGTGTTTATATGAAAGGCACAACATATGTACGACTTCATTGCTCGTAGCTTATAATAATTTTAGGTATCAGGCAAGTAGTTGTAGGGTGGAAATCAAGTAACCTCGACCCCTATCCTGTTCGACCCTAGACCCCAAGTTAGACACCTCGACCCCTTACCCCCTAGTCACATCGACCCCCGGAGTTACACACTGTGCGTCACTTCGACCCGAGAATTATACAACACTGTACGACAATATCACACTTTCTCTGAGCGTGTCGGCCACCGATTTCATTTCACTGACTAGTTAATGTTCGTTGCTTGTCGATTTCTGTTCGTTCTATCGCACGCAACTGCTAAATGACGCCATCTTGGACTGAACCATTGTACTTGATCGGTGACACCCTATTATTCCGCAAATGAGGTGTTGCCGACGCACATATTTTTTAAGTAATACTTCAATGAGGTGATGCCGAAACCAGTTGTTATTAATAATGACACTTAATAAAAGGTGTGATAAAAGTAATTATTAAAACGAAAGTCTTAACAAGTTATTTTATTTTATTTTGTAGGCATTCAAGCTTATATTTATAAAGATCTTTGTTAAAACATTTGGAGAGACCTGTGTTATCGTCTGCTTGTCAATTTCCCATGTTTATTTTACAGTACACAGAGTGATTAAAGAGTGTGTACCCTTCATTCAAGATCAGTAATTGAGTATTTGTATTGTTTAAAATAAAACAAATATACATTTAGAATTGTTTCATACTATTTATATGAATATAATTTTTGTAGTGATTTGTGTTTTTTAGTTTTGAACTATAAACTCAACTGCTGAGTAAGCAGTGTGTTTGGTTGGTACGGTATATCTCGTTTAGGAGGATGTTGAGCTTGGTTCTTTCGGTAGAAGATTTTGACATTGCGGATTAGGTTCGATGTTACTGGGCGCAATGATGTGGTTGGTCATGGTCGATTTGGTGAGTGACGACTTCCTGGACGATATCAGCGGCAGAACGTTGAACATGGTTTTTGGCTGTCTGCTTCACTGATGCAATACTTTTCAACTTCGTTGCAATCCCGGGCTGGCCTGGATGGTTGTGGTCGTGTAGACCAGCTCTAAAGTGGTCACCTCTTTGGATTACAGATGCATGGCAATTAATCAACTGTCCTTGCACTGCAACACCAAGTGGTTTTGTTTTTTGCCTGGTATGTGTAACCCTGGTTGTCGACCAACATTGAATTGCCACGAATAGATGCTCCGGGAAGTACTTCATATTTGATGACAAACTCTTCATCCATGTCTGGTAGCAAATCTGACAGCGACTCATCAGAATGAGTATCCTCTAAGTCCAAGATGGCGTAATTTTGCAGTTGCGTGCGATAGAATGAACAGAAATCGGCAATGAACAATGAACATTAAATAGTCAGTGAAATGAAATCGGTGGCCGACACACTCAGGGAAAGTATGATACATGTATTGTCATACAGTGTTGTATAATTCTTGGGTCGAAGTGACGCACAGTGTGTAACTAAGGGGGTCGAAGTGACTAGGGGGCAAGGGGTCGAGGTGTCTAACTTGGGGTCGAGGTGTCCAGGGTCGAACGGGATAGGGGTTGAGGTGACTAGAAATCGTAGGGTGAGTTGGTATCAGGTGAGCTGGTTTAGATGCGATTTAACCGGTACCCACTGGTTTGATTCAACTGCCACTGAAATTTATAAATATTTATACAGATGAAGGCAGTACTCTTGTCAATTGTTTTCAACATACGCATACAAGCATCTCAACGATCTGATCTAGTGTCTCATTAACCACCTTTAACAATTAACCATAAAGAAATCTCATGATTTCCAGAATTACAGACTTTAAATTGAAAATAAATATTAGCTCACTGGTCTCATTCCCAAATGGTAGGTATTTCCCAAAATAATCTGGCAATCCAGATCTTCCAGTTGCTTAGTTGTCAATCCTTTCATTGTTCCCTGTGTACCCACTGGCATAAATACAGGAGTGTCAACCGTGTGGTGAGGTAATTTCAGTTTCCCTGTGCGTGCTTTCGTTGTAGAGCATTCTGCTAGAATTTTGAAGCTCAAAGCATGTGTACTTTTCAAGGAAGCTGCCATGTTGTGTGTGACCTCTGACTTTTCACCCTAACAGGGGTCACCATATCAAAGTTTAAAATCAGGCGAGAAACAAACCCTATATTTAATCTGAGTTGTCGACAAATTTGCGAGTTAATGACATTCAGGTGAATAAGTCGTTTGTCAGTTACATTTTTTAACGTGATTGTGCGTTGTTTTGAATTAATGGTTGGAGTAGACGAATAACAAACGCGTTACATTCAAGATGGCGTCCTGTCTACAAGAAACAGAATGGAATCTGGACTCACCGGCCAAGGAAGTTGTCTGGAAGCCGGTGTCTCTCACGCACGTGGTATATCCCGAAGGTATATGTATTTCAGATTTCTAATTCTTCATCGGGTTCTAATTTTATTTCACGAAGTTAAATATTTAGTTTGTAAAGCTTCCCCGGACGCGGTTTGTCGATGTGTTAGTTTTTCTCAGGACGATGTTCAAGTGTGAATGAATGGCACAGGGTGTCATGCTGGGCGTGTTTCTTAAAATACTTCGCGAATTCGTCTATTTCAGTGAATTTAACTTCGTTCTTCTGGCGCTTCTGTCACAGTTACACGGTGGTAACGTAATAATTGAAAATTCAACACGACTGATTTTGTTCGGAGGGAGGACAAAGTTGAAGGGCGTTTCTCTCAATTTTCGACCTGATTGAATGTGACCTGTATGCGACATAAAAATGTCGATTTTGACCACCAAAACCAACTCGCCTAAATGAGATAAATGAGAATTTAAAAAAAAATCATTCACACATGTCTGTTGAAACAGTTGAAAAATGTAACCACGGTTACTTCTTCTAGTAACTGTGATGTAACTGATCATTTTTGTCGTGCTTGGGACGGTTGCATGTTTGTCATTTTAGAAATCTGAGTAGAATGTGGAAAATGCAAACTGTGCATTTAAAAAATGTAAAGTCAGATTCAGAAACAGAAAATATATCTAAAATATAAATAGAAAATATATTTGACTATATCAAATTTGCTTCATATGAGAAGATTTTTTGCCTGAATTCCCGCTTGCCCGAATAGTAATTCAGTATAAAATACCCTAAATTGACAAAATCAGGTATAAATGTATGTCAATATTGATAACACAGATCCATAGATTTGAATTTTTATCTTACTCACGGGGAATGGTGAAATGGCCGCCCCTGTGTTTACACGAGCATTGGATTGCTCCTGGGGGATTTCATTGATTTCAGGCTAGTAGGTTTTGGTGCCAATCTAAGCCACACAGAAGTTTAATGTAGTAAAAAAAAAAAAATGGATTCACAATTCCAATTCAGAAAATATACCACTTACGGTATTTGAGTTTAAACCTTTAAAAAGAAAGTTCATTATGAACAAGAACTCACCGAAAAATAAAATTAATTTTATTAAATAAAAAAACTGTTCAGGGCCAAAACTTCCCAAACCCTAAACTATAGGAATTAAGTTTTTATTGGACATTGATCTTTTGACCTTGTCCTCTAACTGATATCCAAATATGTAAATATAACATGGCAAGATATCATGTCAGATTTATCTATGCCATCAATTCACTTTGTTTACAATCTGACCTACATTGGACTTGAATATTTCAAATTCTGTAAAATTAAATATTTTCATATTAATAAATATTCATTTATATTATTATACATGATATGCAGTGTTCGATCTAGGCTGCGCCATTGCGCAATTTGCGCAAAATAATCAAAGTTGAAGCGTTTTTCATAACACATTTTCGTCCTGCCAATTTAAAAAAAGAATTACGTAGTTGCGTTGTTTTTACCGTAAAGTGGCTGATTGACCTGAACGACCCTCTATTTGCTCCGTGGCAACATCTTTTGTGACAATAATGTCGCAAATTTCATCACATGGCCACTTCAAGTGGACTGTGTGCAAATAAGCAGCATGGCGAATAAAAGGCAGCGGTTGATAAATTAGTTCATCATTAGTTGTAATATATATTTCCATTCCTAATATCGAGGCTATTTTTTAAACTTTCATAAAATTATTTTTATTCGAAGTGATATGGTGCACACCTGGAGACTTATCTTTTGATGCTGACCCACTGAAACGAACATTCAAATTGCAGGGTAATACTAAAAATACGGTTGAATATTTGTTCACTGTTACTAATAATATGCTGTGACAGGGTATCTACTACCATCATTATGTGCACTCATACCAGTGGATAGAATTAAGGCTAATCTAGGCACTATATAAATTCATCAGAGAGAATGGTGAATAGCTATGCAAATAAATAAACACATACACACACACACACACACACACACACACACACACACACACACACACACACACACACACACACACACACACACACACAAAAAACAGATTTGTATCAAGACACATTACGAGTTTTGAGCAATTGAACAAATGCCACTTTTCTTACACAAATTTTGAAAATTCTGATTTCAGAAATACTTCCAGGCAAAATACATTGAGATGATTGTAAGATATTGAATTAATTACTTGTATATATGCAATCATTACAGACAGTACCCTACTATGGAAAATGAAAATACTTTTTGTTAGATGGCTATACTATGAAAAACAGCTGTTGGAAAACAGCGAGTATGTAAAATATGTTTCTGTAACATTCATTCATTTAATAGTCAATAAGCTGTTCTGATTTTTAATTTTGGATGAAGATACATTTTAAATGATAATTTTTTTCCGGATTATTACTGTATAAAAATACAAATGAATATTAAAATTTCTCCGAGCCACTTCTGCCGAAAATGACAAAATAGGAAAATAATCAATATTTGGCGGCGCACAAATTTTGCAGGTATAATCAATCTGTCAACAGAGGGCGCTGTGCAGTCGTGAAATAAGTGAAAAAAAAAATAAAAGATCAGCCTGTATTTTTTGGTGGTAATTTTTTGTTCAGCCCTTAATGAAGTTAACATAATTTTATTTTAGAATAATACTTCTGATAGAGTATAGCAATAATGTAATACCCAAATATGGGCAATGGTATGTTACATGTATATGTATAAATGATGAGAAGATTGACTTTAATTTTTCAGTTTTATAGTTGAATATTATTCTAACATCAATTCATTTTACTTATTATAGGTGATTTTGTTGGAAAATGTTTTGCGTGGTTTAGCCTTCTTCCAGTTTTTATTATTGTATCTTTTGTCACACTGATTGCCTTTAGGAGAGAACTGCACACAGTAAGTGTTCTTATGACGTTTAACCCCTCACCCTGTATGTTCTCCATTAGTAGTGTACTTGTTTTGTCTTTGTCATCAAGATAAGTTGTATAATGTAAATTTAATTAATGGTCAGCATATACAGTACAATGAATGTAAAATTTGGGTTACATGTGCATCTGTTTGAATTCTACGATAATAGACAAATACAGTATTGGACATTTATATCTAATATGACTATCTCATTTACTATCAGTAGTATGTGTTTGTTTAAGCCTGCCTTCAATACCCTCATGAGAACAAAGTTGCCTGATTTTATCTCGCGCATATTTCCACAAGGCTGGGTGTTACGCTTCCAGGGTCGAAATCGTGCCCTCTCATCGCCTTCTTCAAATTAAGTTCCATTCTAATCATGAATTCTCAGAAGAAATTTTAGAAGAGCTTATTGCATCCCCTCAATCATGAAACTAAGCATTGTTCGTCGGCGGCAATTGGCACTAATTGCATTCTTAATTGTCTATGCTGAGCTTACCTATGACAGAAAACCCAAGTGTCAGGATGGTCATTGGGTGACATCAATATTTTGGAGAAGTTGCCTTCTAGATTCAAAACAGATTCCCAGATATTGAGAATATATTGATTCTTACAAATGTATGTGAGTGAGGGAGCTCTCTCATTCAGCTCTGAACAAACCTGGCTGAATTCTGCTTTCGTTTATCTCCAAATTGGATAAAAGCACAAGAGATAATCTCCTGTTAATTGGTGGGAGGAGCAAATTTTTGGTTCTGATTAACCGTTGCCATGTGAACCTAGTAACCAAGTGTTTACTAAGTCAGCTGCATCTTGCATTTTGATAAATCAGTCATAATGGTTCTGTAATCTATAACCATCTAATGGCTTTGATTCGTGCCTAATTGGTCAGATTCTCAGGTTTTCCACAAGTTGATTCCCCATTTCATAACTAGAATATATATTAACACATGTATTAGTTTTATTTTGGTTGATATACTGTGGAATACTTTATTTTCGCTGGAATTAATTTTCGCTGAAAAGGTTTTTGGGTGTTCTTTATGGAATTTATTTTCACTGATTTTTGACGAGTTGAATGTGAAATATAGAAAAAAAAGTATATTCACTGGATTTTATTTTCACGGAATCATCTCTTTAGCGAAAATAAATTCCAAGCGAAAATAAAGTATTCTACAGTAGTTATTTTATTATGTTGTCTTTCGTCAGATTACATTCTTTGGTGGTTTGCTTGTAAATGAAATTGTTAATTGGGTATTGAAAAACATCATCAGACAACCCAGACCATGCAGAGGTAAGTACTCCTCTTTCTGCTTCCGATATGTAGTTGTTTTATGTACCGGTACACTAATTTTTCAACTCGCTATATATATACTAGATTGAAGGCAGTTCGTGAAAATACTATGTGTAATCTTTACTGGTTACTTTGTAAGTCCTGTTTATTACTGAATTTATATGAAACATCACGCAGTCTGAAAGATCATCTATGGGTGATGTTTTAGCACCTGAACGATTTTTTGGTGCACCAAAAACAAATAAATACCGGAAAAATAATCCGGTAGAAAAAATAAGGGCTTTTCTAAGAGTGCATCTAATAGGGTACAAAATGGCATCAACAGGTTTAGCAAGAATTTCACACGTACATTTATAAGGGCCTGACATCCAAAATGAGCCCAATATGGACATTCTAAAAAATACATATGCCGGTACTTTTTCTTTTCTTGAAAAAATATATAATGCAAGTTCATTGTTAGAATAATTTAATTGCAATCAGTAATTCAAAATTACACTACTGAAAGCTTAGTCGAACTGGCGAACTTGTACTGACACGGGTCAAGTCGCTATCCAATCAAAGACATGAATTCACACATTGGATCACTCATGGCATCCATATATGATAGCAATGAACTTTCAACAACATGACATTAAAGATTAGGTATGGTCACCATAGTTACTTGATGTATAATTGCGTTTTTTTTTTTTGTTTTTGTTTTTTCAGAGCATGAAGTCGTGTTTTCAGAGTATGGCATGCCATCAAATCATTCGCAGTTTATGTGGTTTTTCGGTGTTTATCTTGTTTTATTTGTATATATCAGGTAAACATTTTATAGATTAATTTGCTATAGGGGTATATTTGGTACAACAATGTTCTGCCACTGAGTTTTTTTTATGTTTAACCTTTTCACCACCTGTT